GGACTATAAGACAAATGGATGATTGTCATAACCGCTACGATTTCCAGCTGAGTTGGAAGTTTTAAACAATCGGATTTATGGCCTTTCTAGGAGCGTTGCGTGTTTCTACGTAATCTCTGTTTAATGTAATTCTTTACTTTGCCAGGTCCTACGACAGTCAATGAAAGAATAATATAAAGTACCTATTTTATTATGTGGTCACTAGAAGGCAAATTGTCACTATATCAGACAAAAACGCAGAATCTATATACGGAACTATTGTAGGAACATAAACTGTACCTACCGTTCGATTGGTTCTACTACGTTACGTATTAGTTCATTCATACAATATTTAGTTCATGCACTACGTAACTTACTTGCACCGTCTTAAGTGCATTGAACTTCAAAACCAAAACTGACACAAATAAACTTGTTTATATACCTACAACGATACGCTAGATCCATTCAGTAAGATGATGAAATATAAAACAAGCAAGCATCAGCAACATTTCATAACACCGCACAACTAAAAAGAAACACAAATAAAATAAATCACCGATAGCTAAAAATAGACTATCAAACAAACGACCGTTCCGATACAAACGACGTATCTAAGACACGAGACTAAATTAATATAGGAAATCACAGAAGCCGTGCTCTACCGGACATTACATAAAAAAGTGTTCACGCGAGAACATTGTACGAATTAAAATATACGCTACAAACACCTGCACGATTATGCAATTTTAGAAATCATAAAAAGTATATATTTCTTTAACTTTACGGTTGTATTGCCTTAGGGGGTAATCAGAGCAATTTGGGTATTAAATAGGCATCCGCTTGTTGCTTAGGTACGCCTTGCATAGGCTTTCTTTTGCCTCGAAGAAGGAAGTAAGAAGAAAGTTGATAGACTTGATATTTAATTAGACACAAATTTACAAACCGACACGAGGTAAGATTGTATAGTTCCCACCAATATAAAACAAGTACCAAAAGATAAATCGAACATGTGGGTTGATGATATAACACGCGCAGTGGCGTCAAATTGGCTGAAGGTGGCAAGAGGTAAACCAAGATGGATAATTTTGCAGGAGGTCTATGTCCGAGACGGATAACATAACACCTATCTTGGATAAATGAGGTTGTAGCGTCTTCAGAAAACAAAAGGGTATAATAACAAAAAAAAACGACAAAAGATATAATATAATGATACAGTTGAATGAAACTGAGAATGATTCAAAAAACAAACCACAAATCAGAATTCCAAATCAAAAACTACTATACAATGATACAATCCCACAACAAGCTAAACCTACACTTGAGGCAATAACAGTTGATCTTGACCATTCAACAAACGAGACACAGTCGAAAGAAAGTACTCACAAAGAAATAAATGTACGTATTTATTTCAATTTTCCACTTATAAAGTTGCGTGCACAAATTCCGCCACCGACTTCAAAGACAGACAATTCATTAAACGTGACCTAAAAATGGATCAGTATAATTTTGTTTTTCTTTACGATATGAAAAGTGAATGAATAGCTCGATTGAAGTGGAAGTTGAATGAGCCCTATTATCTACTGTTTAATTTTTCAAATACAAGTTGTTTCTTCTGACTGCCTTGTTGGCCAAGTGCTCGAAAGTGCCGGGCAAAGGGTATTGGGTTCGATTCCCAGGTCGGGCAAAGTATTACTGGGTTTTAAAAAAAATCTCAGTAGTAGCACGGAGTCTGAAATTGTGCCCGGTATACGGCAATAAGCTCACCTCCTTATTACATGGGACTCGTAACATAAATAGTGAAAAGTGGGTGTTACATTGTACAGTGGCATAATGTGCACCTTTGCCTACCTCTTCGGGGATATAAGGCGTGATGTTATGTTATGTTAAGTTTTTTGTTGGTCGTAAAATAAATTTACAAGGTGACACACAACATTTCTTTACCCTATGGATGAAATTAATCTTACTAATGTTAGAAATGCGACAGTGTTTGTGTATCCGTGTATTCGTGTGAATGTTTGTTACTCAATAGTCACGGAATACTCAAGGGATCAGGGTGTTTGGAACGGGGATAGATTATGGTTACATAGGCTATTTTTTATCCTGCAGGAACACGGGCGAAGATGCTGGCAGAAAGTAGTCTTTTAATACTTATTAATCTACATAACCAGGATAGAAAAGATATAAATCATAATATAGTATTTATATATAATTAACATTACCTCTACAATAATGGTGAACCAAAATAGTTAAATAAAAAGAAGACATAAAAACATAATAAACATAACGACCTAAACAAAACTGAAATACAACAAATTGAAGAGTTCAATGCACGAATCAACGATACACATTAAAAGAGCAATAATTCATTAAAACTAAAATGGTTTCTATGACATAACAGTTACTTTAATCACCATTTATATTGTAATAGTCAAGCCTACAACAGCTATTAACCAAACCATTCATAATCTAACCAAAAATAATCTTCTTGAAAACACTATCACTTTTTATAAAAACCATCTTCATAATCAAGCTTTTCGAGATGAAATCATTGAGATCGACCAACTGATACATTTATTTTGTATAAAGAAACAGTGTTTCTACTTTTGATAACAGTATTTTGAGAAATCCTGTTCCGAAATCGAAATGGCTTTGAAAGAATTAAAAAATGAAGTGAGTCTTCAACTGACCAATTTCGACGATACGGTTAGTGCGGTGGCTGGGCAACCTGTGGCCGTGCAACGTGTCCCGGGTTCGATTCCCGCACGGAGCAACTCTTAGTGTGATCCACTAAATGTTGTTCCGGGTCTGGGTGTCATGCGTATGTGAACTTGTATGTTTGTAAACGCACCCAGGATACAGGAGAAAATCCTAGTGTGGGGCAACGTTTTTTTAAAAAGAGAAAGAGAGTGAAAACGCTTTCATTTTTTAGATGGTGTTGGCATTTTATACGATGATGATGTTGATCTGACCTTTCATAAATACTAACAAGGTTCTTGTCTGAGTCCTATAATAACGACTTATAAATTGAATCCTTAAATAAATTACAATTAATAGATTTTATGGTGTTACATTTAACCTATGTTTTTACCGTTTATCTTTCAGTACAGATAATATTAATAACTACCGTAAGCATTTATATTCACAAGTTCAGTTTGATCACACTTGTCAATATCATCAGTAGCATTATTATGCAGACTTGGACATAAGCTTCATCAATAGTTATTAATTACTTAAATATATACCAAGTATTAACGAATTTCGAATAATTATCCAACATTTTTAAGTCAACCATATGTATGTGTCTCACTGTATGTGTAATTATTCAGGATAGTCGTGAAAAAAAGTAATGATCACTCATCTACAGACCAATATTATCATAAAGTTATTTGACCTATTAAAGGCTACGAGGCAGTAAAGATAAAACGATGAACTCCTCAGCACTACCAACACGTATAACAAAATTAAAATGACTGATCACATATCAACCTACAGCCCTCAATCTTTGTGTCTAACAAAATGTTTAGACTTGCCGACTCGCCCTACATACGCCACTCGAAGTTTCTAACCAGACAAACACTTGAATAATCATAATTATCGGCCATTTTAGTAGGCTCCGGATTGGATGTCGATATGTGATTAGCTTTGATTTGCTAATTGGACATCTGCTGACTTGATTTCAAATTATGGTTTGAAAAAATGATGTTGAATTTCGTTGAATTTAGTAATGGTATTCTAAAAATAATTTCTGTTATTATTATTGCAAGTAGTAGTGAATAATTTATTTCTAGGTGTAAGTTGACTTATAACAGACGTTCTTTCAATATTGAACTATTCTAGCTAGCTGTATGAAATTGCTATTAAGGCTGTAACTACAAAACTTGTTAAAGCTACACAACTTGCAATAAAACATCAAGTGATCCATCTGCTCGTTTGGCTCCTATTCCTTAAAAAAAACTACAAGTACCAATGATCTTCAAGATAAAACTAAAGCTTAATATGAAATGCTGTTTATGTGGAAGAAAATAACAGAAGCTAATTATGAAATGCTTAACAAAAAAAAGTAAGAAACACTCAACCCTTCAAAACCAACCACCGTGACGATTGTATAACTAACCACACATACTCAAAGAGATATTTATTATAATATACATAATTTTAGCTTCGCATCTCAACCAAAAGAAAGTATACATATTATAAATAATAAATTTATGCGTGTGTGCGTTTAATTCAAGTCATATTTTAAGAAATGTATGAAAACTTTTTGGTTAAGGCAAATGCACTTTCCCTTGTGAAGTTTCATCCTAGAAGTACCTTGACCTTCGTTGGACCTGCTTGGCTTATAGGAACTGGTTGTGCCCTCAATACAACGCATACTATATGAGTAGCCACTGATGATACTATAGAATCTAGAATTTAAATAGAAAATAGAAATAAGAAAGGGGATGTTTACAAAAAGAGTTGGGGTGCAAGATTTAGTTTTTAATTAAATTATGATAAACTACGACTAAAAATCAACGACAATGAAGAAAAGTAAGATATCGAAGGTGAAAGACTGATTTCATTTAAAACTTTAATATTATATCAAGTTAATATTATGTATGTTACATATGATATTACATCACCGTCTGCTAATTATAATATACTTTCGGCAAAACTTCAAACGATCGAACTTTTTCCTTTATGATGTCTCTGTGACACAGACAGGGCCAATATTTTCACTATTAATTATATTTTTTACAAATACAATCTTTATAATTTGTCCTGATTTTGACGTTAACTTTGTCATTGACAAAGAAATCTTAATTATAAAACCTTTAATTTCTAAAATCACGTCGTAAAACAGGACCCATAAAAATCAATCTACCCTGCAACATAATCATCACCATCATAAAAAAAAGTATTCCACCTGTAGTCGCTTCTATAACATTCGTAACACGCATCAGACTTGCGCATTTCGGCTCAAACCCCGCAGTGGGGGGCCGTAGAATAAAACCGCTTTCTGTCAGTCCCTCACCACATTTCACTATCCACCGTGAAGGAGTGTAGGACCAAAAAAATGAAGACCTTCCTTGTATTCTTAGTGTGTGTGGTAGCAGTGTACTGCAAGCCAGCGACCTCTGAGGATGACGTCCTCAGCAACGTCGTCGGAGTGGTCAAGAGTTGTGCCGAAGAAGATGTCTGGATGTGCATTAAGGTGTGTTCCTTGTGATAGTGTTTTAGTGATGTCCTTTGGACTTGAGCTTTCATCAGCTTCGTCAAATTCTTCCATCTTCAGTTCTATCTTTAGACCCATTTCTTTTCTTTCCATCGTCTTCTTAACTATTCTTCAATCATCAATGACTTCATTCATATTCTGAGATCAATTTTCAATTTTTAATCATCCAATATCCTTTGATTCTATTTGTGCTACTTCCAAACAAGAAACCACTTAAACGAAATCTATTCAATTAATTTGTTTTTAAAATTTTAACATTTAACATTCTTTCGATTAACAAAACAATTTTCAAAGCCCTTAATTATTCTAATCAGGCCAATAAAGTTTTAGCCTCATTCACATATTTGCACAAAATTAATCCAATTAATACCTTGTTTTCTATAAGTTAGAGATTAAATTAGAACAAACAACCTTTTTATAGATCATTTAAAATTGCATCTAATATGGAGTTGCAAATCATCACATAATGTTTAAACTACATAACAAGTGCATGATTTTGCACTTTCGTCTCAATGACTTGCTAAACTGCAAATATTTGCTGAGCAATTTGACACCAACTTAATGTTTGAGACATTAGCACTTGCTATCATGTTAAAGCTTCCAAGTTCACTATAGTAAAACACATGCCTAGGATTTTTATACAGGAATATGCGATGATATATCTCAAGATAAACTTTAATTATAACCCAACTTCATTACTAGTAAAAAATATATCTACTAGCATGATATCGATTAAAAAATCTATAACAATAATTTCTTCTTCCTACAGGAAAGATCGATGAGATTCCTAGAGAACGCGGCTTCAGCGCGGGAATTGAAACTGGCTGATGGCCTCGCGATCTACAATGTCGGCACTTCTCGCTCCGCCAGGTCTTACGAACCCCTTCCCGAAGAACCTCAAGCTAGGGAGAACCAAGTTGAAGCTAGACTAGTCGATGCTGCTGCTGACTTCGTAGAAAACCATGTTATCCAGCTGCGCATGCCCAAGAGCACTGTCGAGGACATGAAGAGGTCCCTTGAGGAAGGTCAGTATCAACCACATAAAATGACGTCCCACAAGGTCCATAACACCGCTAATGACGAAAGCCATTCAGTAACCACAAGATTAATATTTAAGAAATCTTATGTGGTCAGATCATAATATCGAAAGCACTCGTCCAACTTTTCAAGCGGACTTGAATTTAATTCGTAAACAAATTAATCTAATTCACAAGATACTTGATGAAAAAAATTACATACCTATTAAAATAGAACTAAGATAAAATTGCTTCTAAATAGACAGCCCATAAAAATAACTCACATGTAATTTTTTCTCACATAACAAAAATAATTATACGTGTCATGCCCAATTACGGTGCTCACACAAAAAGGCACGGATTTATCGCCGTGGAACCTGTATTTAAATTCTACCATATCATTAAGGTGCAATTCTTGTAAGCGATCAAATTATTTCAACGAAACAAGTGAAAGTGTATGAAAAAGATAATCATGAACTGTTCCCAAAAGATGTACAATGCTTCCTTGTTAAAAGGGCAGTCAATTCTCTCAGGAGGTTAATCAAAATCTCATCACCATTGTAAAACAAGAGGTTTCTTTATTAGTTTATTGACAAAACAAAACAATTTCACGGCCCATTGTCGGTTGTTTGAAACAGTTTGTTCTGGCAATTTGTTACGAAGATTATGATAACTCGAAGTTACATAACAATTCATTCTCGCTGTCAATAAACTGGTTCATTGCAAATTTTGATAATATCTATAAAAAATAATAGATTCTCAAAACGCTAGTCATTGTCGTAGAGAAAACCATGACCAGAGCTCACAATTATATTTCATATTAAACGAGTCACGACATAGACTGGAGAAGTAACATCATAAAAGTAAAAAGTAGTTATATAAAACCTTGCAGTCATGTTCATATATAATTCCCTGCATAACTCTCGCCAAATAAATTAAAACGCGCTAAAAACCTGTTTGGGCCGCTGAGAATTTTTAAAAATAGAAAGTACGATCAAAAATTAATCTGATGTTACACATGACTGGACAATTAATACCGAAACTAAAACAGGTACATTACGAAATATAGAAAATTTGAAACGGACATCCGGAACAGAGCATGAGAAGCTAGAAAACGTCCAAACTAGTCTCGGGAGGGTTTCTCCAACCTATTAACAAGGTTGATTATCGTGGAAAGCGGACGAACTGTTTCTGGTTTTTGCTAGATGTCCATAGTAAACGTTACTATGTAGGCTCAACTTGTTATAAAGATCCGCTAAGAGGTCCGCGATCGAAATCTCTATCAAGCAGCGAGTAAAAGTAACGCTCCAGGCGTAATCTTGCTAACGAAATATGGATGTAGGCTTGAAGCTTTCGAATTGGTACCAACCAAACACTTTCTAGGTGAATGGGGTTATGCAAACCTGATGTTACATGGTGAATTACAATTTCAGTAGTGAAGGACATTGAATCTCAATGAAGTTTCCATTGTCGATTAACATTTGAACTTAAATAGTAAATTATCTATACTGGGCACGGGTCTATTTTAAATTCAAATTGCGAGTTTGCCTACAAACACACCTTTTCTTACTGGACCGAGTGCAAGTACATACAGTCTACAGTAACTAGAAAGTGTATTGAGTTAATTAAAATTTATTAACTTTATGCCAGCGGTGACATTGATATTAAACGGTTTCTGATAATGTGTTTAAGATTACAATCTCATGCATTACGCTGGGCTTATTTATTGATGGTATATCCTCATTTGCCAGTTTATATGCAGATATCACTACAGTACTTGCTATGAAATCGCATTTACTAGATTTTAAATCTTCATTCAAATTAATGACTTCCGCAAGCAGTTTATTTATCATAAATTTCTATAAAATATTTCCGTTTACAGGTCGTGGCAAGAAGAAGAAGCTGAAGCAGCTCCTCCCCATCCTCGCCCTCCTCCAGCTGAAGATCCAGTCCCTCATCCCACTGTTCCTTGGTATCATCGCCTTCGCTGCTGTCAAGGGTCTGATGCTCGCCAAGGCTGCCCTCCTCGCCTCTGCTCTGGTCCTTCTCAAGAAGCTGCTCTCCAAGAGCGAGCACCATGAAAGCTACGAAGTCGTAGCTCACCCACACCATGAAGAGCACTTCAGCCACGGCGGTGGTGGTCACGGTGGATGGGGCAGGTCTTCCCAAGACGCCCAGTCCTTGGCTTACAATGCCTACTCCAACTAATACCTAAGATAAATCTAAGACCCAAGGGCCATGGTAAATCTTCGTGTAGTTTAGTTTGGACCTCAAAGTAACGATTTTAATTTATTAATTTAATAATTTATTTAAATTATTTATTGTTAAATGTTGAACGAGTGAATCTTGTCTCGAATTTTTTCATTAGCATCGCCGTTTTCTTTATAATTCTTGTTATTATCTGTCTTTATTGCATCTACATCGTACCTGTGTTTATTAGTATAATTTTCTTAAAGTACAAATGTATTTACGATATCAATAGCTTTAATTATTATTTTTTGTTCACCTCTACCGACTGGCTGAGCCATGTAGGCTTTTATTTTAGTATCAATTTTTTATGTGTTCATCTTTAACTAGTCGATCTATATTTTCCTCTTCCTTCTATTTCTTTATATAGCTTTTGTAAATATTTTTCATATCGATGTATATAAGTAAAATATTATTGTTTGCATCTTCGTTTGTTATTATATTATTATGTATATAATATATTTATTTTATCGTAGTGTATATATGTACGTATATGTCTCTTAGGTGATGTCTTTGTGTGTACAAATCTTTCTCTTCCCTTTAGCTGTTATAATTTATTATGAACCACCCAAATAAACTAAATATAACAGTTGTTTTAAATGCTTTGTGTTATTTACCTTGTTTGTCCTTTTGTGCTATATTCATTTATAAAAATAATGTATGGCTAAAAAAACACATCGAATAGTTTGAATTTGAAAAGTATAGTTACTTGTCTTTTGAAGAACAAACAATAAATAAATAAGCTAGAAAAGAAATTTTCCTTAAATAAAAAATAATTGTACAATGTATTTCATTAACTTAAAATCGCAGGTTACTCACGTGAAAATACTGGGAAAAGCTGGGAAAATTGTTAGTTTCGAACCACAGAGGGGCTCTTCCTCATGAGCAGAGTGCGCGGCCGCGGCGATGTCGCACAGCCTACATGCATAATATTATCAACATTTTATTAAACAATATCAACAGCTTATTAGTGCTCACTGCTGAGTCAAAGCCTCTCTTCTTACAGAGAAGATTTGAACGTTAATAACCACGCTTGCTCAATACGTATTGGCGAATTCAAATACATAATTAAAAATTATAAGACTGGGTTTCCTCTCCGCGTTTTCTTACAGCGCTATCACTGGTGTCTATCCTGGAAAAAGTCACTCTGGTAGTTGCAAGGTTTTGAATCCGCACTCTCATACATAAGGAGCTGATGTCTTAGGTACATACATCAGACGTATAAAGATGGCGGTGACTACTGACAAAGTTGCATTCAAAGTCTCATTAAACTGTAAATGTATGGACCCAGTATGTCTGAAATAAATTTATTTTATTTTATTAAAATTCCATAGAAAATCCAGTAAATCTACAAAAGTGTCTAGGTATGCTTATCAAGCACTAGTCTTTTTGGGTCACAAACGTTCTCTAGCTATGACCTAGCACACAAGCAAACTTGATATCGCTAAACGCAGTAAACATTCTTGATGACCTAAATTGTACTTAAATTGTAAGTGACTTTAAGGTTACAATTAGTTGATGGTCAAAATTGTTTTAGTGGATTAATGTCGTATTTTGAAAGAGGACCTCAAGATTTAAGTAGTTCTTATTTGCGTATCTTGAAAATCTTTATAGAGGTAAACTCTATACTAAAGACGGAAATAATTTGTGCTTGGTATAGATATGGTAATTAGAATCATCTCCTTACATATAGAACTCATACCAAAAATGGTGAAAAAAAATGATACACATTCTGATGTGTATCTCCACTAATTAACATAATGTAACATCACGCCTTTTATTCCCGAAAGTGTAGGCAGAGATCACATTACGCCAAATAATGCCACTGTACAATGTAATACCCACTTTTCACTATATATGTTATGAATCCCATGTAGAGGGTGAGCCTATTGCCATATATCGGGCACTGTTTCAGACTCTGTTGTGCTACTGAGATGAGATTTAAAAAAAAACAATAATATTTTGCCCGACTCGGGAATTAAACCCAAGATCCCTTGCCCGGCAGTCACATTTATGATCACTCGGCCAACGAGGCAGGCCACTCCACTATTAATCATTAGCATTAATATTTATCAGAAAAATTAATTCGTGAAAGCTCCAAAATATTTTATTCCACCAGGAAATTGAATCTCTAAGCCCTCTCTAAGTCGCGGAGAACCTAACGGGTTACCGGGGCTCCGGTTCAAAGTGCAGGAGAAGGAACGGGGTGGTTTTTAGTCAGTAAGAGTCTGACACTCCCTCCCGCCTCACCCAGGCGGAAGCAGTCATTCGATGATTTTCCCCCCTAAAAAATAAAAAAGCCCTGAATACAATACTGGTGCATATAAATCGACAGACCACGAACCTTTTTAAGTATTTGTTTATATTATAACTAGTTTACGAGTGAAAGCCTCATTATTATGACTTAATTATGAGAAAAGAGTTAACTAATTTGGAATTTTACTGAACCTGTAACTAAAAAGCGTGACCAGTATGCATCTGGAGACTTTCAGTTAGTAATAATCATATAACACTTTTCATTTGTCGAAGAGTTATGGCTGTTTTCACCGACCACCCTTAAATATCTTATCTTACTTAGACTTAGCTTTCGCTATCGCGTTGGAAGTTCTCAAGAACTTCCCACGGCTGTGGGGACGATGAGATGTTCCTTCACTGCCTGTGACCGTGTGGTGCGGCATGCCCTTCCTTACGCAATCACCAGGCTTGGCAGACCTCAACCTACCGGTATATTTGCGACAGGTTCCGCCACGTTAGCAGCCCTGGGAGCCTGCGTCCTTTCTTCGAGTGGCGCGTGGAACAATACGCTAACACCCACTCCCGCCTAAAGGCTTACTTAGTCTGAGTACCTACATTAACCTTTAGGTGTCACTTATAGGTTAATTATAAGAATACCTAATAGTAAATATTCAAACTCAAACTCAAACTCTTTATTTGCATGTTAAGGTAATACATACAGGTCTTATGAAAAAAACAGGCACAGCTTAACGGCCTTTTTCAGGCGTTGCAAATTTTAGGGGTGTCACCAGCTTACTATAAAATACATTTTGGTTAACATTTTTTTACATATTTATTTGTTCGGAATATAGGTAAGTACTTAAGGTATATAATATATTAGTGGGTAAGTGCAAAATGTAAGTGGGTATTCTTAAAATGTATAGTATATTGTATATACATAGAATATTTATATTTAAAATGTATAGTATGTTGGTGTGTGCTTGTGGGTGTATGTATGGGGTAGGTTTAACATTTAATTTTGGTGTTATATTTTTTGTTATATTTCATGAAAATGAAAAATATATCAGATACTTCAACTCATTTATTTTTAATAGTACTTATACATGTTATATAAGAAGATAAATAAAGATTTGCCACATGAAATAAACTAAAAAAAATGGAGAAAATATAGGTAATAAAAGAAAACTAAAATGACTATTTACAAAAGAACATAAAAATACCCTGTATATGGTAACAGGCTCTATCCCTATTACATGGGACTCATAACATATATAGTGAACAGTGGGTGATACATTGTACATTCTAGTAGTACACATTGCTGCCTACTCCTTCGGGGATAAAAGGCTTGATGATCACGACATTTTATCAAATAATACGAGATACTACGTAATCGAGATAATCTCACATATTATACGAATACCATTAGCATATAAATTGCAACTGACAAAATATAAATAATATTAATAAATCGAACAATTTACAATATTTTCAGTTAATTAAACTCTCCATAAAATAGCCCCAAGCTTTAATTCAAATTTAATGAAAGACTAACTACTTAATTTTGCAACGTAGCCAGGCTAGGCGAGAACCGCTAAAACATTATACGCATGCCTTACTTTCAGACTATTTGTCTCTCTTGGATAGCTGTAGTGATACTAACTGGAAGCTTTCTAGGATAATTGAACATCACCATGAGTATTACTGTAATAAATTCGAAACTTTGTCCATTAGTAGTATAGGCTAATAAACTAAATTAGTCCCATCGTTACTGAGAAGAAAATACATAAAATATTTCAATTATGTCTTTAATATTCCAAAAATGACCTAAGCAAATTTGATGAGTATAGTCTCCTAAAGTTTTACTCAACAATGTTTCTAGTATAAGATCAGGTGATACGTAGTAACAGCTCCTACAAAGTTGGTCATAGAACTAGATCACCACAGTAAAGTTCCCACCGTTACCATAGCAACCGTATAATAATATGAAGCTATTAAAAACAGAAGTCAAACAGAAAGTGTAGATGCAAACAAAACAATGGCCTGTAAAACAATACGAGTAGCTTTCAATTTCTAAAAGCGTGTGTTTGTACAAGACAAGACTTAAATACTTAATGCAGGCACGTCACTGTTACGCGAGTATTCGGATTCACACGTAGTGAACCACGGTCTCATTTTTGGAGTTGTAGAGCAAATAATTCGGTTAAAAGAAAGTGATCTTACTACAAAATTAAATGGTGTTTTTGATAAAGATAAAACATGTCTTTACACGACTGTTATGACTAGAGTAGATAAGTGCACTGATTTTTGTGCTTGATATCCTACTATAAATGCACTTTGGAAAGCACAGCGAACTCAATTCTAAAGCCTATGTAATTTGAATTATAACTTTCGTGAGATATACTAAATAAATTATAATGTTGCACTTCGCAGGTCGCGAAATGCTGCTCATGAATATGAGCCTTAAGCATGGCTTGAAACTAGTCAAGTTCCTCGTCAAATAATTACGTGAGTTAGCCGAAAACATAATGACTACGAAATTAAAAATCAAAAACTCGATGAGCTTGGTAAAGTACTCCATCATCACCCAGGTAGAACAGAAAGGATTCTTAATTTCAATTCAGAAACAGCTAAATATGTTGAACAAGAAGCCAATAAACTGACTCTTACTATAAACAAGATAGTATACATTAAGTACCGTTAAATGAAAACACAGGCAGATCTAATTTACAATACAGAGCACGAATGCAGTGACGACTCGGATACTGCACAGGTATTCGAAATTACACATACCGTGACACCGTGATCTAGTTATTTTGGAATTCTAGAGGAAATAAGTGAAAAGGAGAAATTACTTTTACTCTTCCTGTCGAACGCAAAAACAAATTTGGTTGATGTAAAAAAAAATATCGTTAATTGGCCACTTACATGTGTTTGCTCGGAAGTTTCTTTTCTTGAACTTCCAGTGAAAATTAATCGTCGTTCTTAGGATTACTTTACTATCTTATCTTAACCGTTATTCTGAAATTCAAATCCACAGTGTGAAAATTTTCGATTTCAAAATTCAGCAACAACAACTGGGAATATGATTTCCAATGATGACTGACCATCTTACAGTATAAGTCATATACTCAATAGCATAATTATATAGCATCACAATTAGTGGACTTCTGCTCATCTCTCTCAACGGAGGCCCTCTCCTGCCGCATAATACATCATATAAAGTTAAATAATTCTGTCTTCAATACACTGTTTTATGTCCATTCATTGACTGACTACAACCAACGTACAATTTCAAACACGTCACACTTGATTATAGTGGCTAATCAATAATTACTTCACAAAATTAATGCATGCACCAG